GCGGATCTCTGTGAGTTCGAGGACAGCCTGGTCTACAGAGTGAGTTCTAGGACAGGTTCCAAAGCTACAGAGAAAACCCTGTCTCAAAAAACAAACAAAAAAAGAACTATTAACTGGATGTCAGTCCCTTCTCCTGTCACAGGTATGGGAGTTACTAGAGTCTGGGTTCCACTTGAACAACACAGTGACTCTTGATCTCAAAACAAAAAAAGCTGGGTGTGATGGCGCAGGATTTTAGTCCCAGCACTCCCTAGGGAGGCAGAGGCAGGCAGATCTCTGAGTTCAAGGCCAGCCTGGTCTACAGAGGGAATTCCAGGACAGCCAGGACTATAACACAGACAAATCCAGTCTCCAAACCCCAGAAGCTTCACATAACTGAGATAAGCTGAACTAACACTGTAACTACTGTGAACTAAGATAGAACCAAGTTTTCAAATCTCCGTGGGGGTTGGGAGCCGGGGTCCACGAAGGCAGTTTTGAAGTCACTGAACAATTGAAGCACAGAAGGACTAGAGCATTCATTCTGCAGTCTTCTGCTTCAGGGACTGCTCGTGCTTCGGTTGTCTGGCTGGCAGTAGCCATGCTACACACTAAAGGCACTCTTTTCACTCTAATTTTTGTAAGATCCTTTAGTTACCAAAACTTGTTTTAGAGAAATCTTTTAGGCTGGCCTTATGGCCACCTCATGCCAGGGCTTTTTTGAGGCTAAGTCAAAACTATCATCCCAAGTTCGATCCCAGCCTGGGCTAGAGTGCTACCGAGTTTCAAGAAAAGGGGGGAGCAGGGTGGCAGTGAGACACAAGACTGAACCCAAGTCCTTGCAAAGGTTAAATATACACCCTAACAAATGAGTGACACCCCCACCTTGGAAAGAACAGGCCAACACAGGAGGCTTTGGTCTAAACTACAGCACCCTTACCAGCACAACTGGGAAAAACCGGAAAATCACAAAACAAGAATTGAAAATGAAAGGATTGGTGGCTGTTTAATAACAGCTTGCCTAGTATTCAGCAGGTCCTGGGTTCTGAAGCTGGCACAGGCACACACCTGACACTTGAGGGGCAGAGGCAGGAGGCCACAACTTGGACCTCCACAGCAGGAAAAAAAGCGAACTGAACATTAGTTGTGTCAAACACCGGGTGGGTGGGTTGTCTCCTCAAGTCCTGGTTGGCCTTAAGCTCCTCCTAAGTGTTCGTGAAATTAAGATATGTGCCACCACATCCATTTTTTACTATTTTCTCCAAACAAGTTCTCAGTCAGCCTAAACCGGCTTCAAAATCGTGAAGCAAAGGCTGACCTTTAATGTGTGATCCTGAAGGCGCCCTCTCCAGTCTTAGGCGTCCTGAGGGTGTACCACCACCACTCCCAGCCTTTACATCTACTTTTAAGATATTTTCTTGGAAACAGAACCTTGTGATGACCTTGACCAATCTCTAAGTCACAGCATTGCCTCAGACTCCCCCGGGGCAGTTGTAGGAAAACTGGCTTGATTCAAGTGTCGTCCCCCCTCCCCCCAGACGGGGTTTCTCTGTGTAGCTTTGGAGCCTATCCTGGCATTCGCTCTGTAGACCAGGCTGGCCTCGAACTCAGAGAGATCCGCCTGTCTCTGCCTCCCGAGTGCTGGGATTAAAGGCGTGCGCCACCAACGTCCGGCTTTGATTCAAGTTTTTAAGGTACAGGGACTGTGCATGAACAGATTCATGTCCTAAAGCATCAATGGGACCCATTTCGGTGGCATAAAAGCCTAAAAGCCAAGGCAGGAGAATCCAGAGTTTAATTCAAGCCTAGGCCCTGTATCAAAAATAACTTAAAAATAAACAAACCCCCGAAACAGTATTAAGTGTAACTTAACCCAGGCCAAGAATTGGGGGCCTGTCTCTTTCCAGTGACTTGTTCTATAGCACAGGCTTGCTTTGGATCTGATGTAATCCTGCTGGGATCTCAGGTGTGTGCCGGGCTTTAGCATGTTAAGTGTTACCCTTCCTTGAGTGTCATTGTCCCAACATGCCTCTGTACAGCTATTGAACCACATTCCCAACAAATGGATCCCTTTCTTTTCCTTTTGTGTCCCTGTGAACAGGGATCAAGATGGAAGGAGTCAGATCTCCTGGCGCTGAAGTTACTTAGGTGACAAAACTTTCCGAGTTGCCTTACATGGAAGCTGGGAAATGAATCTAGGCCTTCTGGGAGACCAGTTAGTGCCCCCAAATCTCAGAGCCAACTCTTCAACCCTCCCCCACCCCTTTAAGAATTTCACTATGCAGCTCACGTTGGCTTTCAACTCCAGGCAGTACTTCTGCCTCAGCCTGACAGGGTTATGGGAAAGGTTACGGGTGATGGGGTCACAGGTATGAGCCGCCATGCCCAGCACAAAGTGGCTTTCCGTTAGTGCCCGCTGGCAGCACATGCTTTTAATCCTACTACTCAGAGGGCAGGTACAGGTGTTCTCTGAGTTCGAAGCCAGTCTGGTCTAGAGTTCTAGGACAGCCAGGGCTACACAGTGAAACCCTGTGTATGTGGGGAAAGACAAGACAAACCAATAAAAATTTACTGTCATCTGGTAATGAAATTCATGCAAGATGGGACAGATAATTAAACAGACAAAACGGAGTAGGAGACGGTGCAGGATGCTCTTTGCATGATTAGCGTTTGGTGTTTGTGGCTGAAAACCAGTTATGCAAACCTCAAATTTGCACATTTCCATGGTGATTCGGCTCCCTTTCAAGGTATTTGACAACAAAGGCAGGATAGTTCTTCAAACTGGCTTATTCTCACCTCCTTCTTGGAAGGAGAGGCACCGACAAATACCAAGAACTACTAAAACCTCAGGTGATTATTAATCTTTTTCATCTCAGAAGGGGTGGGTGTGGGAGTCACTGCTTTGTGAACCCTTTTACATTAAAAAAACAAGTGAACACAACACTCTATCAAATAGGGCTAGTGAGATGGCTCAGTGGGAAAGGGCACTTGCTACCAAAGCCTTGAGTTTGATCCCCCAGGTCCCACCGTGGAAGGAGAACCTCGACTTCCAAGTTGAACTGACCTCTAGATACAACTCAGGAGATAAAATTATTTTCATGAACAGGAGCTTTTGACTTCTGCATTAACAAGGACTGGTGGGTAGTGCCTGTACCTCGGCTGGAGAGTGACCATGGAGCATGCACCAAACCCTGGGTTCCACTAGGCCCAGAGTCACATCCTAACTAAGATAAGAGTGTGGCTCAGGGTCTTAAGAGCCTGCCAACTTACTACACACAAGGTCCTGAGCTTGACTCTCAGCACTTGGGGTAGGGTGGGGCCTTTTCCAAGTACACTCCTTACAGGGGTAGGTTGGGATAACACACCCCAAGGCAGGCACACACCCATCTCAGCTAAAGCAGAGAACCACCAGAGGTGGAGGCAGGAACAGAAAAATTCAAGGTCAATCACCTTGGCTAGTAAACTTAAGACACAAGAAACCTGTCAGCAAGGAAGCCAGGTGTGGCACTAAAGAGGCCAGAGTTTAAGATTGTCCAACCTGGGCTATTTTGAGACTGTCCCAAAGGAAACCAAAAATCATTCTCTTCCACCACCCAAAAAAAGCAAAGAACTACTTTAAGCAGCAATACATTAAACACAAGACTTCAAATTTACATTGTACACTCTTATTACTTTGCTGTAAGGCAAATCAACTTTTACTTCACTTACATGTATTTGCTCAGCTGACTTCCCTAAAAAGACTTGCATAAGGGGGGAAGGAAGGCGATAAGAAAAGACCCACACCACACCTTACTTTGGAGAAAAAAAAAAAGGTTTTATTTTTTTTCCTTAGGAGAAGAAACAGAAGTTAGGGAAACACAGTTTTTTTTTTTTTTTTTACAACCCACATTAACTTGCAGTTGGTCCTAACCCTTTCGGGAACAGATGTTAAAAATGCTGGTTCTACCAGAATGAAGGTATTCACCACCCCAGGTAGAATGTACATGGATGCTTGAAGACTGTATGGTTTTTTCCCTGAGAGAAGTGTAAGACAAACAGAATTTGCTGAGAACCATCTTTCCAAGCTGCCTCTCCCTATTCACTTTGGAGGATGTCTCAACTATTCAGCTAGTCAGCACTCAGACCATTGTGCCTCTTCTCTAAATAAAAAACCCCTTTCTCAACCACTTGGGCTCTGCAAGTCTTCATGGCCCTGGCACTAAAACACCTGTCTGTATAAACACAAACTCGCACAACTGGATACGGGGCACTAGCCTTTAGTCACCTTAACCTGTAGGGTTAATTAAACTACATAAAGTGCTTGTAAGTCCAAGAGATAAACATAAATAAGCAATTTATAACCAAGGATAAATACATAGGTACAAATGGCTCCAGCAAGATGACCTGTGGCTGAGATGGGCAGGCAGGGCACTTCTTCCCCAGTACATTCTTAGTCATCTGACTCATGACTATTTTTATCTGCAGTCCTGACTAAAGGTCACATTCTGAGACTGAAGCTTTCAAATGATCCTAGCTCAAACAAACACCTCAGTTTACCAGTGGCTTTATATAACTGAGGCTCAACGAAACTCACCTTTCTCTAAATTTATGTGAGCATATTGACATTAGGAGGAAACTGTAGAAAAAGTTCATGTATGATGCAGCTCACTCCAACTTCTGAAATTCCCAAGGGGACTTTTGCCCAATAGGATAAACAGTGAAAAAGATACCAATCCAAGGAAAGGGAGTTTCACCCCCATACCCGTTACTGTTGGTCATAGGGCTCAAAGAGGAAGTATTACTACCCTCTAAGGAGACAAAGTTCTGCTGACTGATAGGATGGGAGGGAGATCACTTAAGTTCTTAGTTGGAGGGTAGGGGTAGGGGTTCCAGGGAGGAAATGTAGACTTGGATTATATTTAGAGGGACCAGAAGGATTGTAACAAGCCAGTATGTAAAGAAAGGAGAGGAAGTAAAGGTTAACACAACAGGTGGGACATTTACAGACTAATACAGAAATTCAAAACAAAGCTTGGCAATCATTAGTAGAAAAGAAATACATATTTGTTTTATTGACACCACCAGGCTTAAACTTGTGTCAAACAAGTAAACCTTGTCAATAGCACCATGGTTATGAGTCTAGCCTGTGTTACCAAACCACTTTACAATTTAAAGTCAACAGGGGGTCAAATTCCTTACATCTATCTGTGATCCTCACATACAAAATCAGACTGGAAAATTAAGCCTGCATAGTTATGAATCCGATTTGTTTCACTACAACCAGTCCACACACACAACTTGTTCTGTATATACTCTAGAGCTGATCATGACAAAGTTTTAAAAAGTTGTAAGAAATAGATTTCTAACTAGAGAAGTTGCAAATTTCAAAAGGGTATGGAAAAACTAAATTGGAGTCCCTCGTTTTATATCCAAAGAAATAGATTTTCTGTAAAAATATATACAATTTTTACAGACAAATACATTTTATATGTTGTTTACCTTAAAAATTGAGGCTTTTCAGTTTTGTAACTAATTAGTGAACCTTAAGTCAAGTATTTTGGCCATTACTAGGCTAATAAACTTAAGATTATCACAAAACCAAGCCAAAGTAGACAGGTCTACACGTCCTGAGCACTTGGACTCTGTCAAGAAGTACACCTGGGAAAGCTCACCACAGAGCCTCCTTTCACATTCTTGTACAGTACTGCGGCTTCTAGTCATGGCCTGGTTCCTTGTAGCTTAAATCCATCTTACACAGATCACCGCCATCATTAGTGCTTCTTTCAACACCACAGGAGAGTGATGGACTCTGCACATTTATTGAGCTCTATGACTAGCCTGAGGACTGGCCACTCTTCTAGACAAGGAAATCAAGTCTGTCCACCTACCACTTCCATTCAATCTACAAGTCCTCCTCCAAGGCCTCCCAAAATTTGCTGAGTGAAAACTTGGCTTCTTTCAGATAGTAACTCTTCAAGAGGGAGCACTTTTCCCATGTATTTATTCTTGTTAGCCACAATCCTGTAGCCATTTGCTTTCTTTCTGGCTATGTTGCTAGAGTGGAACTCCTGGATTGTTAAAGCCCGGGCAGCTTCAAGTCCAACTTCATAAATACATTTGTTTTCACAGAAGCATGTGGTTTGGTGGCTGGAGTTAAGAGTCCCCTACTGCACTCACAAGGCTATCTTATTAGATATGCCAGACCAGCCCCTACTCCAGCAACACCCGCAAAAGCCAGCAGCACATTTCTGATGCCGCCTTCTAGGTCCTGTACGTGGAAGAACTCCACAAACCCATCCTAGAAAACAAAAAAGAAAAGCACATTTTTCAAGTATGGGTTTCTGCTGTTGTAACACTAAATACAGAGAAAGGGTGAATTAAAACATCCCCAAAACAATGGGGAACCAATTATTCTATACTCCTGGGATGCAAGACAGACATTTCTTTTCAGTGAGTAACCACTCACAAGTTACACTAATTCTGAACATAAGAATTTTGAGGGCCCCCATGACATGGTAGAAGACAAAAACCCTAACCACTCTCTTCAGATCCCCCTGTAGTATTTCTCCCGTGGGTCGGTGTTTCCTAATGAGGCTGCGTACACCTCACACCTGAGCTCTTTGGGTACTAAAACTTCTAAAATGCAGGCTATACCCCGTCTCCATTTGATTAAAATGAGGGGCCCACTGGGGATGTAATTTAGTCATCACAGGTGACTCTTACTTCTTCACGGTTTGAATCCACTGCTCTGAAGATTATCCAACTGAATTAGAAGAACAACCTACAGAATACAAGACCTTTTGGTACAATTCAAGACCGTCATAGCACCTTTTCTCTGGACCTACCACTTACAACGTCCAACATCAAGCAACCAGAGATACATAAGTTAGGTCTGGGGCCGGGGAGGAGAGCTTTGTTTAAAAAATAAATGAGTAAATAAAGATCCTGCACGCACCCCGTTTTCCACTCCACAGCCACTGTTTAAACCGTTAAGGCAAACTTACCCAGCCTCTTTGTTTGACAAGCCAGTCCCGTTTTGTCCTTACAAGAACATCTGTGATACTTTCTGCTAAGGGTTCGATGCAGCTTTCCTGGTTTATGCTCTTCAAGTGTTTGGCCACATAGGCACCAAAAGAAATAAGAGTCACAATCCTGCCCCAGTTTGTTATGCCATCCTTGAAAACATGGACCATCACTCGAGAAAAAGATTTGACATCGTCTTCGTTTTTAATGTCCATTTTCCGAAGCATGCCTGAGAAGAAGAAAAGCATGCAACCTCATGGCCTCCTTTGTCTTGCTGCGGGGCACGACCCCCTCTCTGCCCACCCACGGCGAGGGGACCCGGCTGGGCCGGCTCTGGAGCTCTCGGGCGGACCCCACGCCGACACTGACATCCCACCCTTTCCGGCTTTTGAACCCAACTGCCAGATGGGCGGAAACAATGACTCACGGCCAGAACATTCTGGTCGCCGAGCGCCA